TATTTTCAATTTCTTACTCATGACCCTCAATTGGTGAATAACCTTATTTTAAGGAAAAATTAACATAAATAGCATAAATCTAATCGTTTAAATTAAAAATAGTTGGTTCAAGTATAATAATTGTATAAATTATATATAATATGTATATAGTCGTATATAATCTATGTATACCGGCTAGAAAAAGTAACGAATAAGTTTGAGCAACTATTTGTGGATCTCTTTTTTAAATCAAGAGAAGTTGACACTACTTGGCATTTAACCTTAAATTTGGGACAAAATGGCCCCAACTCCCATTTTATTGTACTGTTGGTAATTGTTTTCTCTGCAAATGAGTCGCATATTGTCGATGGTGAAGCATTCTAGCGCATCTCTGCTCCAGTTTTGATCTTGGCAAATCAAGACTTGTACTTTGTGTATGTAGAACAATACTAGCAGTGTATGAAAAGTCTGCTAGAGAGAGAAGATCAGAAGTAGTATGAATTGAGCAAAGGAGAAAGAAAGAATTGCGTCTGTTTGATTGTTTGGCTAGCAGTTGCTGTTCTTTTAAACGATTGTGGCAAAATCTGTTTGTTGGATAAACGAGTGCAAATGTATCTTAAAAGTTGTAAATTTGTGCAACTTTCCCAAGTTGCCTATTGTTATAAAAATAGCCGATTGGATTTACTGTTTGTTTTTTTAGCAAGTATACATAGATAATACATTGATTAAACACAGTTAAACATATAAAATATATGCATTATTCATATATTTTATATCCGCTGGCCATTTTTAGTTTAACATATTAAATAGATGGTTATTTGAGTTAATTCATCAAATAAAAGAATCCTAATGGATAGTTGTTGCAAATGGTAACTTTTCCAATTAGTTAAGGTCAATACATATTCTCATTGATCCATTATTAATTTTCTTAGAAAATTATACTAGTGCTCCCTAAGACAAGACACTCAGGGATCGTTTGGTAGGATGTATTAGGGAAAATAATATATGTATTACTTTAGTATTATTAATTCTTTGTTTGGTAGTATTTTTCAAATCATATATAATTAATAAATATTTGTATTAGTTATACACCATATTCAGTATTATTCTTATACATAACAAATTATGGCATTAACAATACCACAATTTTTAATACATGAATAAGCATGTATAAGAGTTGCCATTTCAAAGCATTTAATACATCAAATCAAAGAGTCGATAAAGAAATAATTCATCATAACTAATCTCAACATTACAAATACATCATATTCAGTACTATTCTTATACACCTACCAAACGACCCCTCAGTGATCTTGTAGTCAGTACGTGTAAGGTGGTACATATGGATATAATCAGAAGTAGATCCGGATTTTGAACTTTAAATATTCGAGTTCATGATTTTAACACAGTACACATTTGATTTACTGAATTCGAATATATTATTTATACTTTGTGAGTTTCTTAACACATACAAAATTTGAGCCAAAACTATTAGATTCAAATGCCATAACATATATGTAGTCTCTTTTTTTTTTTTTTTGGTCGTAAGTTAATGCAAAACTTGATCTCTTCCTCTAAAGATTACCCCGCTAAGTCATCCAAAAACATATATACTCCTTCCGTTTTTAAAAAATGAATATTTTACTATTTCGGGAGTCAAACAAGATTATTTTTATCACATTTTTTGCAAGTAGTTTTTAAATATTTTGAATTGTTAATTATTGTGATTTATAGTATTTTTTATGTAATTTCTAAATATGTAAATTTTATTTCAAAAACTTAAAGCATTTATACCCAAATTTATACCGAAAATTAATCAATGACCCTCGTGCTCCGAAAAGCTTCAAACACATTGAAACCGAGGCAGTAGTAGAAACTAATTCACGATTGTAACAATCTCTAAACTAGATATCTCGACTGTAGTGTCACTGACCATAGCCAAAATCCATAGCAACCACTTAACGTTACCATCAAATTGACTCTTCCCACTAATAGTCCAGAAAACTAAGGAATGATCACTCGACAATTCTGACTCCTTGTCACGCCTCGGGCGGTGGGTTGTTGAATAATGGATTTTGGTTTGTATTGCATAATAATATCAAGTTTTTATGTCACATTCTTCAGAACAAACGTTGTAAAAGACATGTCACAAGCCTTGTTTATAAAAACAAGACAAGAAAACTGAAAAAGCTCTAAAACAGAATTACCCAATTCTTCGAAAACAACTGAAAACCAATTCCAAATTAAAACTCACGAAAAAAACAAAACATTTTGAGTCCCACATCGGTGGGTGTGGGAGGTCATTTGTCTCTTTATATAACGCCAATCATCACCTCATTAGCTAGCTTTTGAGATTGAGTTAGATTCAATCTCTATTTATTATGATATTAGAGTCAAACATATCCCAATTTATTGTTATCGATGTTAGACCCCATTTATATTTCTCACGCTCCAATTTGCAGGTCTAACTTTTGAGATTTAGACACTGTAAAGAATAATAATGGTTAGTTAAGTAGTGAAGCTCGATTCAATCCTCTCTTTGTTCTATCTCATTTTCTTTTCTCTTCATCTTCATCACCATGCCTGTTAATACGGAAACTGATGTCACCCAAACTGGATCTGCAAATGAAGTGACCTTCGATCCAAATCATCCCTACTTCCTCCATTCTTCTAATGCACCTGGAATGACCCTAGTGAATGCAATCTTCACTGGGAGAGGTTTCCAAAGATGAAGGAGGTCTGTGCTAATTGCACTTTCAGCCAAGAATAAGTTAGGCTTCATCAATGGAACCTTTCCTACTCCAGCTACTACTTCCAAGGATTTTCAGCCTTGGAGTAGATGCAATGACATGGTGACCTCTTGGCTTCTAAACTCACTTTCCAAAAATATTGGAGACAGTGTTATCTACTCAAAGTCTGCGAAAGATCTGTGGAATAGCATTGAGCATAGGTTTGGACAATCAAGTGGTGCCAAACTTTATCACCTGCGCTAAGAATTATTAGAGTTAGTTCAAGGAACAACTAACATAGCATGGTACTTTACAAAGCTCAAACGATTATGGGACGAGCTGGATTCTTTAAACTGTGATGTCAAGTGTCTATGCACTTGTGTCTGTGATGGGAAGCAAAAGCTAGAGAATCCTTAGAGGATGAAAGACTCATTTAATTCCTCATGGGATTGAATGATTGCTATGGGCAAGTTAGGGGAAATATCTTAATGATGAGCCCTCTACCCAACATCAACTGTGCTTATTCCTTGGTTCTACAAGATGCAAATCAGAGAGAAATCTATGCAAACTCTCTAATCTCTGCATATTTTTCATCCTTCATGGTGAGAAATCAAGGAAATTTTGTAGTCAAAGTAACTACTCACAGAAAAAAGGAAAACAAACACAAAGGAACTTTGGACAATTCCATAAAATTCTATGCAGAAACCTGCAAATCTAACACAGAAGAACCCAACCTTCAAAGGAAAGAAAACCAAATTCAATCTTAATGCATCTTGTACCTATTGTAAGAAGATAGGTCACACAGTCAATGACTGTTATAGAATCATAGTTCCCTGAAGACTTTGAGTTTACCAATACCAAAGGAAGCCAGTTTCAAGTTAGGGGAAATAGGGCATTTTCAGCTAAGGCAACAGAAGAAAACAACAACAACTACAGTGAGTCTTTGACTCAACACATCTCCAAAGATCAATTTTCACAGTCAGTGCAGCTGATCAAGAAGGTTAAGGTTGGGGATGCAGGAACTTCTAATCCAGAGATCAATGCAAATGTTGTGGCTAGTACTATTATCAATTACAATGGTTCATGTTTTTCAGTTTTTAACTCTAGTACTTGGATTTTTGATTCAGGGGCTTCAAAACACATGTGCTTTTACTCAAATGCTTTTCTATCTCTGACTCCTTTACCCACTCCACTGCATATTAATTTTCCTAATTCTTTCAAGCTAATAGTCACCTATGCAGGCAGAATTCCTATATCTCCAGAATTCATTCTAGAAAATATTCTACATGTCCCCAGTTTTAGATATAACCTACTATCTGTCAATAGGTTTTGTCTACAGTTTCATTGCATTTTTTCACTCACGTCTAGTCAATGTCTATTGTAGGCCCGTTAATAAAGATGCCTCAAGTTTTTGGTGAAGTAAAAGAAGGATTATATATGTTGGAGCCTAGTGGAGTTATATATAGTTCACAACCTAATGTAGTTTCCTTTTCTAATCAGAATGATGTTAGTCAAGTTTCAGTTTCCTTTCTTTTTCTGCAAGTGCAGCCTCTAATGTAAATCTTTAGCATAATAGATTGTGGCATTTGCCTTTCCATGCAATGAAACAGTTTAATTTTATTTCTAAAATTGTTTTCTTCTTTTTACAATCTTACATGTTTTCATTTAACGGAGGCTAACTGAGCGTTCTATCTAGGGGGTGACAAATGGGGCAGGTCGGATATGGACGTAACGAAAACGGATAAATGATCCGACCCGATGCATATTTAATACGAATAAAAAGGGTTAATCGGTGGATAATGTGGATATTCATATTATCCATGGCTTCTTGAATATGATTACTTTTGGCAGAATTCCTAGTCTCCCAAATTTGAGGAACCCCCAATTTGAAACTTTACAAATGTAAAAGTTATAGCTTTTCAACACAAGCACCGGAAAATTTGGAGAAATATTTGGCCAATAAAGTTAAATTCCCTTCTTCTTTTTTTGTTTTCCATTCGGTGGCTGATACCTTAAATTTAATACTACTAGCAACAACTTATTTTGAGCTGATCTCTTGGAGATATCACATTAAAAATAGTAATTAAAGAAAAAGAAGACAGCCTCGTACATTAATCTCTTTTGTGTGCGAAATTCAGAAAAAAGGTCAGACCACATTGAATCTTATGTAGGCAATATTATCTTTCATTTCTACAAAAGATTGTTTCGCAGGTTGCATTCATCGGTAGAAACTTTTATCGTTGCACTAAGACTCCTTCTAAAAAAAAATAGCAAGAATAGAAGAACCAATAGTTATGAATAAGCTAGAGAGATTTATAAAAATATAACAAGAATCAAAAGAGATTAAATTATTAAATCCAGCTACAATTTGGCAAGAGTTTCTTCCAACCAAATTCTTGATATGTCCATTAAATCAGGACTCAAACGAAACATAAGCACACAAAACTCCATCTCATTTAAACAACCATCTCCATCAAAATCCCCTTCTCTCAACATGCACATTACCTCATCATCTCTCATATCTTTCAATCCCAACAATACAGAATTCTTTTTCAAACTCTCAAAGGTAATGACTTCCCTCTCCTCATCCATTAGCATTCGAAATCCATTACTTAGCTCTTTCAAGAATCCCTCAGCTCCAAGTTTTTCCACCATTGAAGGGAAAAAATCCTCGAACACGACGTCTCGTCCCAATGTAGCCATTGATATAACTGGACTAGCTCTTAGAATTAAATGTAGAAGAAATTATTGTTGGATGTAAAATTTAGGATGTAGATACATATATATATATATATATATATATATATATATATATATATATACAAATTCAAAGGGATATAAATAGATGAAAGATGTAAAGGAAATTTTGGTGGAAATAGTCCAAGAAAATGCAAACAAAGGAAGGTACATAAAAGAGAAAAGGAAGCTGAGGGAGAATGAGGATAGAATTGGTTGCTATAGTTTCCTGGAAGTTGCATGGGAGGGGCACCACTAAATAATTTTTTTGGAGGATTCCATGTAATGGAGAGCATTTTCCTTTAAAGAAATAAAGTTTTAAATTTGAAGGCAATTTCCTTAAATATGTGTAGTTTACTCATTTGGTATGGTCACTATTCATCAATTATATATTTTTGTACACTGATCGGGTCGGTGTGTAAAACAAAGGTAAAATAACCCTTTAGATGACTGAATACTCCCGGCCGGTTCTACCAGGAGCTAATTTGGGGAATCAAGTATAAAATTATTTATATCTCCGGGTTAAAAAATGACCTACCGCCAGGGGCGGATCCAGCCTATTGAAAGTGGGTTCCCGTGAACCCAGTAGCTTTTGCATATATCCTGTATATGTATTAAAAAACTCATTAAATATCCACAAATATTTAATTGTGAACCCAGTTACTTATTGTATATTTACTTAAGATCGTTATAGGAACCCATAAGCTTAAATCCTGGATCCGCCTTTGTCTACCGCAACTAATTGCCTATAGTAATTCTATTTTCATAACCTAAATATGCAATATATAACTTTTTTTTTAATTTCGACCTGATGTTTGTACGTTAGGTCGACTAATCCGAATTCACGTCAGAAAGTCCCATTTTAGGGTTAAAGTGCTACCAACCAAAGGCGATTTCATACCCAAGAGTCAAACACAGATCTCTGATTAAGGACGGAGGAATACTAAATGCCCCGTAATAATCTTTGATAGTGAGATACATTTTTTATCAGGAGCACCATCCACGTCCATTTAGTAATTTATTTTATTTTTATTTATTTTTTTGTTAAATTTCCTTTCGTTAGATAGAGTGACAGACCAAAACATCGTTCTTTAAGCTTTCTTTTAGGAAATACCTTTTTTTTTTTCAATTTGATGTAATTGCCAGGTTATTGCATCAATGCTGTCTGACGGGTATGATTATTAATTAACTCGTGTCATGCCGCTGTACTTCTAATATAAAAATAATAATTTTCTCTGAAATATTTAGTTAAGTCTTAACAAATTCCATCAAGAATATTTGAGGCAATGTTTGAAATCCACCTATTACTAAATAATAGTATCTGTGAAATTGTACAAAACAAGTTTCTTTTTTCTTTTATTTGTCCTTTTATTTTTTATAAAGAAAATCTAATAGACTATGAAGTATGAACCAACTAGAAATGCCAGCTAAATAGCAAGATAATGAGTAGTACTAATTTTTGTTATCTAATTCCGTTTCAACTAACCTCATAAAATCTCGAATCTTAATGTTGTTTAGCGGCCTGCTAACATGATTGATCATATTAAATGGATATTAAGAAGTTTCTTCCGTTTCTTACCCGGCCAACGAGGAAACTTACAAGGGAAAATGATATTGTATAGCCACTCTCAAAATAATAGTCGAAAAAATTAAGAACGGCTATACAGTAATATATATGTATGTATATCATATATTAAAAGTATACAAATTTTATATACTTTTACGGCTATTAAATATAAATAATTTTGATCGCGGACTAAAAGTGATCTTTGTGCAAATTACAATAACGAAGTCAATAGGTTAACATTTTTAAGAAATGTATTTTTTAAGACAAT